CTCTGGTGCAAATTACTGACCTCTGTCATCATTTTAGGTGGGGGAACTTGCACAATCGGTGGCTGACTAAATACTTTTTTGCCCCACTGTATATAAATGTATTGCTGTGACAACCAATCCAACAACTGATTCGAAAAACTGACAGAGCCAGGGTCAGTCCAAATGATCAGCAGTTTCAGCCATAGCGATAACATGATAACATGTAATCTCCATGTGTGCATGCTGAAAGAGACTGTGCTGGTCTGACTCCCCTCCTCCTTTCAGGGTGGAGCCTGCTGGAGACCGGTGGTTGACACCAGGTCTGAGGAAGTGTAAGTGTGCTTTTAATGTCATTCATGAAAACAAAGCCGCACACATTCAACCATCTTCAAACTGTCACATCACTGATTCACATCTCTGATGTCAGGAGTCATCATCAAAGTGTCAATCAATGAACAGATGATGGATCAATAACTGCAGCTGGATTGTGTTTGTTCTCTCCATCAGATTCCTGTCAACTCACAATTGACACAAACACAGTAAATAAAAACCTCAGACTGTCTGACGACAACAGGAAGGTGACATATGTGTTGGAAAAGGTTCAATCATATCCTAATCATATGGACAGATTTATTGACCGGTGTCCTCAGCTGCTGTGTAGAGATGGTCTGACTGGTCGCTGTTACTGGGAGGTTGAGTGGAGTGGAAAGGTTTGGATATCAGTGAGTTATAGAGGAATCAGAAAGAAAGGAAAGGTTAATGATTGTGTGTTTGGATGGAATGATCAGTCCTGGAGTCTGAAGTGCACAGATGATGGTCCTCTTTCTGTCTGGCACAATAAAAGCCAAATACCAGCCATCTCCTCCTCTTCCTCCTCCTCCTCTTCCTCCCCCTCTAACAGAGTAGCAGTGTATGTGGACTGTCCTGCTGGCACTCTGTCCTTTTACAGAGTCTCTTCTGACACTCTGATCCACCTCCACACCTTCAACACCACATTCACTGAAACTCTTTATCCTGGGTTTGGCGCAGGGCTCATGGATGATTTGTTGGGATTTTCATACTACCGTGGTTCCTCAGTGTCTTTGTGCTGAGTTGAGTGTAAAGAGTGTCCTCCTGTTAGAGAAACACTCTGACTGTTGAACAGATAGTTCAGTCTGTACATGTCTGTCTCTCTCACTCAGAAACACATTTTCAGATTCATGGGTTCAATCAGTTGATGTTTTAAACTGTTCTAAATGATTCCTTGCAAACTTCTTCTTCAGTCTTTTAACGATGGAAGCTATGATTATTCCAGGATCCACGTGTTTTTTTTCCTGTATTTTTTCCCCTTAAAGCTTCACAGTGAGTATCACAGTGTTGAATGGACTCCCCACACACAATGGTTGTGCTCACACATGTCAAGTTTATTTACCACACACTCTGCCCAGCTTTTTTTTTTTTTTATCTCTCTTCTCTCGTCTCCTGCCTCACTAAGAAGGGAAAAGACTGTCATCAGTCCAAATGCCATACGCTGTGTTCTCACCTGCCTCCGCGGCACCGCCCTGTTCAGCTCACTGCACCACTCCTCCCCTGCAGCTGAGCCAGGGACCACACCTCCACCACAACCAGTATGTTGTGTTTCTTTGAAGCTCAGTTCACAACCAGCCCCTCTGTATTTTCAACAAGTCTGAGCTTTTTAAAATGAATCCAAATGTTTGATTTCTCTTAATGTGATTTTTCCAACCTTTTACTGCTTTTACTGTTCCACTCATTTTTGGAAACTGTGATGGAAGCAGGACAGGAAGGAAGCTCTCAACAGAAGCAGATTTTCATATTAAGAGCACATTTGAATGTTTTTGCTTTAATTTGTTGTCAAATCCTGAGAACAGACAGGCTGTTTGGATGCTCCATGACTGAATAAGTGGACATCCAACATTACTCAGTGTATAAATCATTAAAGACATTCAGCATCTCTCATGTTTCTGTTGTACTATAAAAATAGCTCCTTTTAAAACTGATCCAGTCAAAGAAGCATTAACTTCCATACTGATCAGATCAATATGTACAGTTCTGATATCACCAAGTCCTCCGATGTTTTATCACCCTCTGCTGGTGAGAAGATGAACTACAGGATGTCAGTTTTGGGTTTTTTTTAAATTTGTTTTCTGTGATCCTTATCTGTTTTGGATCCATTTTGCCATGGAAGTGGACTCCAACTTGGTCACAGTGTGTCCATAATCATGCTCCAAGTAAAACCACAAGATTAACCTTATAGTGTTGAAACAACAACAATTAAAAGTTTGAGTAATAGTGAACCAGTTTCATTGTTTGTGGGCTCCTCGAGCTGAATCCAGCAGGTTATTTGGTGGACATTTAAACAAGCACGCATCTATAAGTTGAACGTCTCCAAAATCCTTTAAACAATTGAACTTTATAGGACAATTAGACTTATCCCTCTATGAAAACTCTCCAGCTGCTATAAAATGTTGAGATGAGTCTGAACAGGTGGTTTGTGCAGGCTCAGACTGTCTCTATGCCAGAAACAGTCTGAGCTGGAAACAAATCCGGTGGTTGTTTATTAATAGGATGCACAGGCCTCAGATTAACACTCTCAGCCCACAAATCCTCCGCTATGAAAGAAATACACAGGCCACCATCTGCAAATAAATAAATGGTCCACATTTAAAAAAAAATTACAGATAAAATTATGTTAAAACTAAAAGAGAGTAATACAATAATAATATAATGTGGTCCTTACGAAGGAAAACACTCTGTCTTTCAGATTACTGAAAGTGGCTGAACTCAGCAGTACAGTGGGGTTATAATTAAATTCAAACATGAATTCAATGGCAGATTAAAACGCTGTGTTTAGAGTAGTAAACACCAGAAAGCGGGATAGTCATGTGGTTTATGTAGACATCAAGGACATCTGGAATATGTGAGCATAGGGAGACAGAGCTGTGTTTTTTAGTCATTACTAGTTAATAAATGTATTGATCTGCAATAGTTTTTACCTCAGTGCATGTAGCATAATCTTTTGTCTAAATATAAGTAAAATATTCAAGGAACAGTGTTGTCAATTCTTCTTCCTTAAGTTGTCAAACAATAATTTGACAATAATTCAGACCAAAAGTCATCTTAAACTAGACAGGTAAATGTATCGAGACATTAAACTGATTTTTATGTTTTTATTAGCCTTCTTAAATCAATTAATTGATGTTATATAAAGTCTGTCATTGGTTCCTATCAGTGTGTGTAATAAAGAAACAGGATTAGTTTTGTTAACACAGCTAAATAAAGCATAAAACGTATTTAGTATAGTTCCCCATTTAATCTTGGGTGATTATATTTTCAAAGATGGTGTCTAATTTTAAATCGACCCTATGTTTTTAGTCTCACTTTGAGTCCTCTGCCATCAGCTGAGCTGTGATGTAACACAGATGTTACCTGTCAGCATGGCACAAAGACTCAAAACTGTTAATGAAACTTATCAGCTATGCTTGAATATTTATTTATAGCCATGTTTTACATAAGTAGAAGCTGTATCTTTAATTTTTGTGCCGTTATAATCCTACATCCTATAACACGGCAGGTCATATATATCACTGGATAAATACGTTTACGCAGAGCAGACAACTTCATAATGTTCATAATATTTCACCCAGTCCAGTAAAACATATATTTTCTTCTGATTTCATAATGTCACATGAAATAAGAAATATAAAGTAATTTATATTGTTGTTCCTGGTTAAGATTATGTTTTCTGTTAGCATGTCAAAATTCTACTGTTGGGTGAATAACTCTATAATCTATTTAGAGAATCAGAATCTCATTCTGATTTCTCTGTGTTGATAACATATAATTCTTTAAAAACTTTCCATTTAAAAGTGCATCTCATACTTTTGTGCTGCTATACCTTCATGGCTAGAGTCTGCTGCTAACTTCCTGGAAGTATTGCCAGGCTATGTCATCCCCCATCTCTATAAAAAAAAAAGAAAGAAAAAGAAATGTCCATTGGCGTGAATGGAGTGGCTGTAGCTCAGGTGGCAGAGCAGGTCAGCCACTAACCAGAAGGTCGGTGGTTCTACACTGAAAGAAAATACAATAGGCTGGTTGTCTGTGAAGGTTCTCAGTCATCCAGGTCATCGTAGTCAAAGGAGATTGGAAAGAAAAGCGTCTGGACTTCTTTAAGTTACTTGAAGACGTTTCACCTCTCATCCGAGAAGCTTCTTCAGTTCTAAG